ATGTAGATTTAGAATTTTCTTTTTATTTCCCTGAAAAAGTAAAAGTGAGGAAAATGGAAGAAGGGGAAAAATTTTAGAATTGCATTTTTATTTAGAGTGTTTATTTGATTGATTCAATTAATTTTGAATTGAATTATTTAAAATTAAATTATTTTATTTTTATAAATCAAATCGATTTTTATTAATTTTAAAAATTAATCGATTAAAATTTATTTTATCAATTAAGTTAAATTTCTTGATTAACTAAATAAAAAATATATTTAAATTATATTATATTTTAAAATTTAAATTTATTATATTTAAATAAATTAAATAAAATTATTTAATAAAATATTTAAATACTAAACTATTATATTAATAAATTTAACAATTTATGAAATAAAATAATTTATTTTGTGTATTTTATTTTATATTTAGATTTTGTTATATTTAACTTAAAATTTTAATTAATTCAATTAAATGGTTTTAAAACTGAATTAATTAAAAATAAAATTTTTTAAAAATTATTTTAATTAATTAATTAAAATTAATTGAATTAAATTGATTTAATAAATTAATTTCGTTAAAACTAAATTATGAACACTTCTACTCTCACTCTCTCTCGATGAGGCAGGCCACTCCAGCTCCAAGGAGAAGCCATGGCCTTTTTCCACCAAAGCCACCAGAAACTTCTTTCCTCCTCCGAATGATGAGCGGCTCGACAAAGTTTTCCAACTTGGTCGAGGTATCAAGTTCTTCCTCCAAATCACAGGCCTAGTTTTTGAAGAAATTTTCTCATCTGAAGACTCGGTATTTTTCAATCACATGGTTGGCTCTTTATTCTATATTCATTTGTTTTGAAGTGGATCCTTTTTACATATGATGTTTCATGTTTATTGTTGGTTTAATAGGCTGTTATAGTCCATGTGTTTGTTGAAAGTTGCCCTTAGAAAGACTGCCAATGGAATTTCTCAATTGGGATTGCTTCTTCTGATTTTTATGTTGATAATTTCCGTGAGTGCCCAACTTGTGGATGTAGCTTTGATTGTGATACTGTTAATGGAAAAAAGATTAACCCATCATCTGATTGTGATAGTGTTAAATTGATGTATCATCAACTCAATAGAAAGGAGCTGTTAAACAATTAATCCAATGGAAAAAACAATGAAAATTTGCTCTGCAGATCACAGAAAGAAGTGAATAGAACAGTAGATTAGAGGGCAGGGGGAAGAAACAGATTTTGCAATAGAGCTAAACCGCTGGTTATCTATAATGGGTACCTATCCTTTTTTCTTTTTTTTACAGAAAATGTGAGGCATGAAAGATCAGACTGAAAAGGAATCTGTCTTTTAAGCTCATAGATGGTTAAATGCAGTCCTTGGAGAATAACTAGGAGTGAAAGAATTAGGAAGAAATCATTCAAGCAACAAGGAAAGAGAAATCCTAAGACTAAGAGCAGCCCTTTTGCCCCATTTCACATTCGTCTTAGAGCTAGGAACTGGGAAAGAGTAAACAAGAAAAGGCATGAGTGAAGGAGGTTTCTAAGGACATAATATGATTATAACCTCCTTTCTGCATTTTGACATTATACATTAGGTGCAATTCCTGCATAATAAGGAGCCTGTGTGGTGTCATATTTTGGTCATAAGGGGCTGCTTGTTAGTACTACTTCGCTTCTTTATCTTAAAAGAGTGACCAAAAGCAGATGAGGTTCTTTTGGAGTTGCAAGAACTTGGACTATATATATTGTCAAAAGAAGATGACATGGAGTAGATGCATTAGTTCATTTGATTCGGTAGTTTTAACTGTCTGATCTGTTGTTGATCAATTCTTTTTTCCCTTTTTTCCCCCTCCCTCCGCTTGTTTTAACATGCGTCGTTAACTGTACACATCTGATTAGTTAAGAATCGATTCTTTCACCCTATTTGTCTAGCTATATTTATGTAATTATGTTATATCACAATGATACGCTCTCTATGTTGTTGTGTATAATATTATTCTCTTTTATATATAAATGATATGGGTACTTTGATTAGCCCAACTCTATGACATAAAGGAAATATGTATTTGTAGGTCCCAATCTTTCCCATGCTTGGAAAGAATTAAAGCAAGATAATGAGCAGCAGCTCAATCCTAGAATGGCCATGGACCCAAGACTGTTGTCAAATAGAGTTTTTACCTTTGAGGGCTGTGGCAAATCATAAGCTGGTCTTAATGATGGTGTGTTCAATTTCAATAATCACCAAGATCAGCAATTGATCAAACAAAATCTTAGAAAGTAGAATAAAAAATAAGACTACGCATTCAAATTTCGTAAGGGAAAGGATACGATGAAGATAGCTTATTGGGGGTGCAAAAGGAAGGCTGCCCCTGCCCTTGAGTCAAACCTAAAGGACTTGCTCTTGTGCAGTCATGGTCTCATGGACCAAATCGGAGTGGGCAGAAATGCACATGAGGATCTTCTATTGTTAATAAATTTGGCCCCTTTTTCTTTCATTTTATGGAAAGTCACTTGATCATATTACTAATTAAACTTTATTTTTCCTAGTTCTCACATGCATGCGTGCGTGGAAGAGATTGGAGGATCAGGTCTTTCGACTCAGAGGCCACCGCCCATTGTTTGTAAAAGCCAGAGGGAACGTGGTAGGCAACAATTTCCCTGCCAATTACCCTACAATTGATTGTTGCAAATTTTAATCAAATGAATGAAACAATGCAAGCATGTATTAATACAAGTATTAAGTCTAATTAAATAAAAAAATGTAAAAGTTGGAATACACATTTCTCTTCAAAGCCTATATCCATGACAAAATTCCTCAGTTGAGCTATTTTATTTTGATATCGAATATATTCATAGGCATATCAATTTTTTCCCCTAAATTTTTTGCATATCTTGTAATTGATGATTCATATTTTGTTTCTCCAACTTTAATATGTCATTGGAAGACAATTGGCAAGTTTTAAGCCATTTTTTTTGGTTCCTGTCTAAATATCGATGGATTTTGTATTGTGATTGAAGCAGACAAGTTGAAGTTATGGCCCTTATTAAATTTTAAGACATCCAAGAAAAAAAAAATGCAAGAAAAGCATATACACATAATCCAATATTCCAATCCACTAAATCCCCAAGCAGTAGAGTAAAAGATCTATGTTGTTGGGCACTTGGGCTTTGGCAGATTTTGAGGAAAATGTTAAGCAACAATGCACAATCAAATTAAAAAAAGGTTATTAACAAAAAATGGCTGGTTTAAGTGCAATGACTGGCGCGTTGTAGGAGACCAGCTGTAAAACTATAAGCTTTAAACATGTCTGATTACTGATAATAAATCATTAATCGCAAATAATTAACAGCAAAACAGAGTTGGATAATGTACCCAAATGGGTTTTACAATGTATGGAGAGAGTAGAGTATTGAGGAACATGTCCCCTTGATTTGGGGAAGGATGGGTTTTGTGTCTGAAGTTTGTCGTTTCCCTTTTTATGGTGGGAGTTTCTCACTGTCGACACAAACTCTTGGGGGATTCTTTTAGCCCAAACTTTGGCCATCTATTGATGTTAATAATCTGTTGGTCATGTCTCTTGTGTGCTCTTAAGTTTGTTCCTTTTTCTTTCTTTGTTTATAGCCTTTTTCACCATTTCCATATATATATATATATATATATATATATATATTAAGAATGTTGGCTTCAATTACTTTTGTTTTATATACCAGATATAAAACAACTCCAACGGCAGAAGGCTCCCCGTTCCTCAACACTTGAACAAATGACTGGATGATGAGTCATCTCCCTGAATCTGATAGAACAAAATGATTGGGAGGAAGAACTGCCCGTTAGAATCTTCTTTCACAATCGCACATCCATCTCCCTAATCCATGCAGAACACTTGTTGAATTCCATAAGCGTAGCTTTCATATATTTCGACGGCGATTAGTTTTGCCTGGAGGAATGAACCAACTCTAAGAAATGCAAAAACTGCACTTCATGGTCATGAAATTGAAGCTGTTGAAGTAGCTTTAACTGTGATGGCAGCATCAACAAGAGTCCTTCACCCCATTTTTTGATGACTGATTCACAAGAATTCGGGTGCGCCTTATTTTTGGGCTTCCTTATGAAAACTAAACACCCGAGAGCAAGTCCAAGATGATTTTGTTAAACCTGAACCATATTTGGAAGCTAGACTTGGACTGGGATGTGATTAAGGCCTATTGTCTAAGCAAACCTTGCACGGAAGACTATATAATTAAGCAGATCACTATGGCCCAAGGGTTAATCTTTTGCTTGGATTTTCTGGTCCAGGACTTTGGCAGGAAACCAACTCGTTTTCTAGTCCAGGCTCCCTGGACTCCTACAAGATCTGCGGCTTGGGCAGACAGAGATGACTGGTAGTTTTTCGGCCGATTATGATGACTGGCAGTTGCAGCTTTCCAGAAAACTAGTTTCGACCAGGTATATTGGGTCACTTTCTTGGTCGTTCAGTTTTATTTTGTATTCCATTTCAAGCCATTAGCTTATTACACCCATGTGCTTAATTGATTTGATGACTTCTGCTTTTTCTAATTAAAATCTTCATGTCTATAACTATAAGCCTAATGTTTATCACATCATCCAAACACTAGTTTTCTTATGCCTTGAGGCTTGTATTATTTTCTTGAGATAAGACATGGCAATGGCCTTGACAAGGGAAGGTTTGAAGTAGCAATATTAGGACGTCATCCAGCAGTAGAACCTTTGCTTGTTTAAATATTGAAAAGAGGCCAAAATATTGCTTGTTATGACAACCTACATAATGAAATACAAATTCAAAGCAGCCTATCTACAAAGAAACTTTAATCAAGTCTTTAGGGCAATGATCTTAGCAATTAAATGAACCTTAGCTGGTAAATAAAGGTCAGTCATTAAACTTTACGTTTAAAAACAACATTTTTATACAATGATCAATCATAAAAGTTGCGTTTCAAAACAACAATTCTACATGAGTCTTCCTAACTCTTTGTCCTTGCAACGAATGTATTGTCCAAGTTATTGAATGCTGCTGTTGCTCATATGGGGTCTCCTCATATCATCCTAAGTGCAAGATGACTGGTCTTACACATCTTTGCTTTGCCGATAACTTGTTGATTTTGTCAAAGGCGATCTGGTCTCAATTGTTGAAATACAAAATATGTTGAATTTGTTTCATTGATCTTATTCTGGACTTCAATTGAATTGCACCAAAAGCCAACTCTTTTTCACAGGTGTTTGCCGATAACTGGGATGCAAAGTTTATCCTATGCACTATGCAGGTAGACTAAGCTAATTCAATCAGTTTTGTTCAACATTCAGAACTGCCGGTGATAACCCACTTGCCTACAAAAACAAATTCAACGTAAATACCAAAGTAAGGAAAATAATATCTTTCACGACATCATCGAATGGACGCCAAGCAAGCTCACTGTTATTCATGCCAACCATCAGAAGGCCTGTGAACACGTGTTCGTCCCAGATTAACCTTTTTCTCGGGCCTTGCAACTTCAAGCGAAGCACTCACATTTCGTCTTTTCTTTTGTCTTTCCATATATATAAAACCATGCGCTTGCTATCTCTTCATTCTTGAAACCTGCTTTTAGCATTTCGGGAACTTTTGGCTTTATCTTTAACGTTCAGACAAGAAACTTGTTTATTCTTGTTGCAACAACAAATAGATAGAGCAGGAAGAAAATGGCAGGAGATAGGAAGATAGGGGTGGCCATGGACTTCTCATGTACCAGCAAGAACGCTCTTAAATGGGCTATAGATAACTTGGCTGACAAAGGAGACACCCTTTACATCATCCACATCAACCCTAACTCTCTTGATGAGTCTCGCAACGCTCTCTGGGCCAAATCTGGTTCTGGTAAGTTTCTTTCCTTGCTTCACATTATTTTTCTTTCATTTCTGACCTGATATAATCTTGGGTTGTTTTTCGATTCTTGAAGCTTTTATTCCTTTAACCGAGTTTAGAGAGCCACAAATTATGAAGAAATACGATGTTAAAACTGATATTGAAGTTCTTGACATGCTTGACACTGCTTCTAGACAAAAAGAGGCAATTCTCCTTTTCTTTTACCTTTAAAAGACCATCTATTGTATCCATTATACATAGCCTTATTTGTGGCTGATAATCATATTTGTGATTACAGATGCAGGTTATCACAAAACTGTACTGGGGAGCAGATGCTAGAGAAAAAATTCTTGATGCTATTGAAGATCTAAAGCTCGACTCTTTGGTTATGGGAAGCAGAGGACTTGGAACCGTTCAAAGGTACACAGTATATGGTCATAAAAAAGGATGTATTTTTGTTGTTCCTGCTTTGTTTCAGTGTCATCACTGATGTTTTTGCATTGTTTGGTTTGATGAAAAACAGGATTATCTTGGGGAGTGTGAGCAACTACGTTACGACGCATGCTCCTTGCCCTGTTACATCGTCAAGGAACTATCGAGGTCCAGCAAGCACTGATAAGTTTATATTTCGAATTTGATTTACGAAACAATAGTGTGTGGTTTTATCAGTTCAATCTGCTGTTCCTGTTTGGCTGATCATGTTGACTAAGGGCTTTGGTTGTTTCTCAAATGTGGAACTTTGTCAGATAATGAGTTGTTATCAATTTGTGTTCCCTTGGTATTGATTTATGGCCCTACTATCGAAATCATAGCCCTTCATGGTGCGGAAAAGCTGTTTGGCTATAATAATCAGCTTTGTCTTGTCCATATTATGACCTCTCTTTCAAATCTGGGATACTTTGTAGTACTTTTTTTCTTCCATTTTCACATGGGCAGATGGAAAGACCAAGATCTATGAATTTGTGCTGCTGCAACATGGCTCGACTCTTTTATTTTAAATTGATCACAAGCTAGGCGCATGGATAAACTCAACAATGCCCAATTGAGGATACATCAATTATCTATAACATGTTCATTTATTAATTTCTGCCTTTCTGGCCCAGAAACGATAGCAAGTAACACATTACACATGCACGTTGCAACATTTGAAAACAAACTAATATTACACAGAAAACCAGGTAATAGAGCCGAGGCAAAAGCAAGCGAGAATCATTGGGAAAACGTTCATTTGGAGGCATTAGTTTGCGCATCCATAGCTCCAGCAACGCGAGCTTTGAAAAAGGCCCAAAGTCTCTCTCTGGGAGGCAGACTTTCCTTAACAACACTGCAACTTACAAACTCGTCGGTCCATTTGACCAAGTCAGGGAATTTCTCAGCTGACAGCAACTCCTGCCCTGTAGCTTCTTGAAGGACCCTAAGCCAAAACCCAATAAAGATGGCAGCAATGTCTACCAATCCAACTGTATCTCCCCCAAAGAATCTCTTCCCCTTCAGCGTACTTTCAAGCGTTTTGAGACAGTCGCAAGCTTCTTCCACCGCCTTTTCTCGCTCATTCTCGGGGCTCCACGCAGCGTTCCATAGTGCAGGCAGGCACTATATACAAACAAGTCAGACAAATACGATTATGACTTAAAAATTGGTTTACGACCTTTATATATGAAGATTAAACTAATATATGAAGTTTGAATGGGTCAAATTGAACCCAAAAACAAGTTTTGCCTGGTGAAGCCCATTTCTGAATCTGAGCTGTTTAAAAATGATTAAATGATAAAATACTACCTTCTCATCGAGGAACCTAGCCCAGAACCGAGCCATGGCTTTCTCATAAGGATCCTCCGGCAAAATGGGATTGCCTTTCCAAGTTTCCTCAATGTATTCAAGTATAACAAGTGACTCCGCAATTGGCTTCCCATTGTGGAGGAGGACAGGGATTTTCTTATGAACTGGGTTGTACTTCAAAAGCAATGGGCTCTTATTTTTATGGACGTCCTCTTCTATGTATTCATATTGAACACCCTTCAACTTCAAAGCAAGCTCTACCCTGCAGCTCATAGGGCTTCCCAAAGTTCCAAAAACCTTCACTTCTTCAGACATGATGTCAGACTTTTCCACACGTGGTAGAAAACTTATGGTTTGATGCTACTTATAGAGGGAGGATTTCCGAGTTTTCTTAGGGAGGAAGATATGATAGGCTTGCTGTCATCATCCTTATTTAATCAGTGACGGTCAAATGAAAGCGCAGTCGTTAGAATCTTCAAGTTTTCAACATAATTGAAAGTTAGCAGGGATCAAGCAATGAACATCCAGGAAAGTTCATTTCAGCATTAATGTAGCCCAGTCAATGCGAATTGATGAGGGAGAAAAAAAATTGCATGAGGTAAGATGGTGCGTTAGCTGAAAACAAAACTGGGCCTTTGAAGCCTCTTTTCTTGGGCATTTCAAGTCCAACCTCTAGATAGACAGGCCTTTGGCAAATGTTTGGATTGTAAAGGGCAATGTGCCGATGTCAATTGCTTATTCTCCCTTATCAGAATTAAAAGAAGCAGTGTTTCCAATAATTGGTAATTGAATCCTACTTTCTCATCTATGAACTTGGCACAGAAACGAGCCATGGCTCTTTCATGAGGATCTTCAGGCAAAATGGGATTGCCTATCCAAGTTTCATCAATGTATTCGAGAATAATAAGAGACTCCAGGTTGGTTTTCCATTGGGTAGGAGCACAGGAACTTTCTTGTGAATTTGGATTGTATTTATAGAAGCAAAGTTTCATCAGATGCATTCTCTTCTATGTATTCCAACGTGGAGTTATTCTGTAGCTTCATTGATGGGCTTCTTGTTTCTTATTACAAACGAAGCTTGTATTGAGATGATGGGCTCATGGATTTGTACCTTTGATAGCCTAGTCACAAACCCATGTCTGAGCCTTTTTACATGGAAACCTCAATTTTTTGTTTAGAAGGCTGGAGCCCTCCTAAATTTTGACATGGTAAAACTCATTGTTTTTAATTCTTAAATTTTGGGTTTGTGTTTCTTTTCTTACATTCAATATTTTTATAAAATTTTGTGGGTTTGTGTTTTTTTCTTACATTCAATATTTTTATCTCTTCTTCTTCTTCAAAAGTGAATTTGGTTCCAACATTATCATTCACCGCTTTCACGTAAATGAGTATGGTACCTCAACTTATATTCCAAGCTCAACACATCCAATAAATAAACATATTCAAAGCATCCCAACCAAATTTGCTTGTAACTCAACAGAAAAAGGCTTCCTTTCTTAAATGGTTTTCCATTCAAAAATTGAGTTTTGGAGCCAGAATGAAGAAAAGCATTCAAAAAAAAGTGTCAAACACAGTTTTTGAATGCTTTTCTTTCCATCTAATTTTATGTCAACATAAGCCAAAACACCTTGGGGATGGAGTTTTTTCTTTCCATCTAATTATAAGTCAACATCAGCCAAGAGTTTGGTAGCCGTTGGGGGGTGGGGGAAGGGGGGAGCCTATCCAAAGCAAAGCAAAATCTTCAGTTGGAACAACCGCACTAACCAAATGGGGATGGATATGTTAGGAGAAGTGGCAAAAAGACCCGAAGCGTTGCAAGGAAAGGTAGAAGAAGGCCATAGGGCAGGGCCATAGTGGAAGTGATGAATGTTAATTAAACAAGGGATTATTCGATAATTATGAGATCTTCACTTCAACTCCAATTTCATTTTCAATCATTCTCAATGTTAGTTATGGGAAACTGCTCTGATTAGCCTGTTGCTTTCATGTCTTAATTTTGCATATCTGTTCCAAATCCTAGCGTGTCTTAGGAAGTTAAATACATAATTGAAAGACATCATGGGTATATCCGTCGCCTACACGACTCCCATCACCTTACTTTTATCATTAATTTTCTCACGAACTAGAGATCATTAAGCCATTTTCTCTTTCTGCTTAAAAACAGGAGAATTGGAGCAGTTTAAAAACGAAAAGAATGGAAAAACTGGGGAGGTCTTAAATAGATTTAGAAATTAGAGTTGAAGAAAAAGGCTCTACCAATCATGTGTTTGAGCAAGCCTTAGTAAAGATGACCAGCTTTACTCCACACAAATAAGAACACAAAGCTTATCACTTTTTCTCTCACAAAAAAAGAAAATAAAGACGGAAATAAGAACCCATTGAAGCAGTCATGGTTGCAACCTTATGGGTGGAGCTTTCATCCATCAAGAACAAATAGACTCTACCCAACAACAGCATTACCAGTTCAAGCTTTGTTTCCCTGTATCAAAGCTAAAAGCTTTTGGGTTTCAAAATCTGTTAGAAGCTTGTGCTACAGAGCTATAGATTCAAATTGTTGTTGCTTACAGAGGTTAGAGTATAGTGGTATGATAGTTAACAACCCTGTTTTTTGTGCTTCACCTGGTCTCTTTGAAGAAGAGAAAGCTGAAATGGAGGGTTCGGTTGAGAAAAACGAAAGCTTAGGTGAAAATGGGGTTCAAATGGGGACATTTGCTGAGTTGCTTGAAGACGAGGGTCTTGAAAGTAGTTCAAGTTCTGATCTTTTGACATCAGAAACAACAGGGCACGAGGAGCAACATAGTCACATTAGTTCTGAGGAAGGTTCAGCTTCACCAACTTCATTGGGTTGGCCGGTACAGGAAAATGCTGAGACAGAAGATTGCACCAGTACTAATTGTAGTGAAGATGAACAAAAACCCCCCTTGGATGATAGGAAATTAGAGAAACAAGACTCCACAATTTCAGGTATTATTGACTATCATATAAAAATGTCTTTCATTTTCCTTCCTTGAATCATTTTGTTGATGTGTGTGGTTAATGGGGTTATAGAGATTGAGTTGATGAAGGAAAGATTTGCAAAATTGCTGCTTGGAGAAGATATGTCAGGGTGTGGAAATGGTGTTTGCACAGCCTTGGCTATTTCAAATGCAATCACCAATCTTTGTGGTATGTTGACTATTTTTTGTATTTTGAAGATACTTTTTATCAATTTTATTTGTTTATATTGGTACTGGTTTCTGATTTGTGTTGATTAATTGGTATTGGCTCTTTGCTTGATGGGTATTTCCCCTTCACTGCCTTAATCTTGCAGCCACCTTATTTGGGCAAATATGGAGGTTAGAACCACTGCCGCCTGAGAAGAAAGCAATGTGGCGAAGAGAGATGGAATGGCTTCTTTCTGTTAGTGATCACATTGTTGAGTTGATACCCTCGTGGCAGACTTTCCCGGATGGAAGCAACCTTGAGGTAAAGCTATCTAAACTTTTCCCCATATACGTTTCCCAGAATTTCAATACGTGACGCTAGGGCTGTTTTTGAATTCTATCGAAGAAGTTGTATCCACTGTTGGATTTGTAGTTTAAAATGCCATGTCTAGTTTCTGAAGCTATTCAAATCCACTGGTGATGAAATCCTCCCTGGCTCTCCTGATCCCTAAGCAACTTATATAATCATGAAAAAGAAAAGTTTTACCGGTGTATAGTCTAAATATATTAATATCTTATTGAAATTATTTTCCATGGGTCTTTTGTGCTGTGATTTCAGGTTATGACTTGCAGGCCCCGAGCAGATCTTTACATTAACCTCCCAGCTTTAAGAAAATTGGACAACATGCTTCTTGTAAGATCCATTGACACTTTTTACAATGTGGAAATGATTCTGGTTTATTTTTAATATAAACTCGTTTTTGCAGGAGATATTAGATAGTTTTGTCGATACAGAGTTCTGGTATGTTGACCAAGGGATTCTAGCCCCAGAGGCTGATGGATCAACCTCTTTCCGAAAAGTCCTTCACCGTCAAGAGGAAAAATGGTGGCTTCCTGTGCCTCGAGTGCCTCTAGGAGGCCTCCATGAGAATTCAAGAAAGGAGTTGCAGCATAAACGTGACTGTGCAAATCAGATCCTAAAAGCTGCCATGGCAATCAACAGTATTACTCTAGCTGACATGGAAGTCCCTGAATCATATTTGGAATCTCTTCCGAAGGTAAAAGACAGTAAATAAATATTTTCCGTTGTACTTTCTAGAAAGTGTTGGTTGTTAAATTTTTGCTACAAATTTGTTTCAGAATGGCCACGCATGCTTAGGAGATCTCATTTATCGCTATATTTCTTCGGACCTGTTTACTCCTGAATGTCTTCTTGATTGCCTTGGTTTGTCCTCTGAGCACCAAGCTATAGAGATTGCCAACCGAGTAGAGGCCTCAATATATGTGTGGCGCAAAAAGATAAACTCCAAACCTGTCAATAACACAAGCCGATTTAGTTCAAAGTCGTCATGGGATTTGGTCAAGGACCTAATGGTTGATGCTGACAAGAGGGAAATACTTGCAGATCGAGCGGAGAGCCTCCTGCTTTGCTTGAAGCAGAAGTTCCCTGGTCTTCCCCAGACCACTTTAGATATGAGCAAAATTCAGTACAACAAGGTTTGCGTCATTGATTCCAATTTGAGATTTGTTCTTAAGACTGCTTTTAATTACGAAAGTTATGCTAATAAATGAATATTGCGGTGTTAATTAGGATGTTGGGAAATCCATTTTGGAAAGCTACTCAAGAGTTTTGGAGAGCCTGGCATTTAACATTGTTGCACGGATTGATGATCTGCTCTATGTGGATGACTTGACAAAGCATTCAGATCAATTCTCTTCACTGTCCAGAGTTGGTGTAATCGGCCAGAAGAGTCTTTCAATTCCATACTCAGTGGCCTTCTCAAGCACTCCTTATAGAACAGCATTTACCACCCCAAACTTTTCACCATCACAGCTGGTCAGCCCTGCGAAGGGAGAAAGATCACCATTTCTCACAAGCAGCAAAGTTCCACAGCTTGGGATGGGCGTGAAAAAGGTCTTGACAGATTATCTTAGTATTGATTTAAGAGGGAAGGAATACAGCAATCCAAATGAGGGAACAGAATCAGGTTCTAGCACATCTGTATCTTTTGAATGTCTAAAAGAGGCAATGAGCCTATCAAAACACGAGCCAGTGCTGGAGAAAGAACCCTGAGGTTGCACACCGTGAACCAATTTCCCGAGAAAGCAGTCTATCACATGGCTCATTTTTTTTTTTTATACATTTGGTAGAATTAGGAAGATGCTTGAGAATGGCGAACATTTACCCTGTTATTTAAATTTTATGCTCAGTAGATGTCTATAAATGATAATGAATTGAGTGGTTCATGCTTCTGAGGGCAGCATTTATTGTCTCAAAGTTGTTGCTGGCAGAACATTTCGTGGATCAAACGTAGGATAGAAATGCCAAACTACCATTTACTTGTCTATATAAACTACAAAAGAAACTTAAACGTCAGATCTCAGTGTCAGTGGTGACATCAAGTAGTTTTCCCATATCTAGTTATCTACTTCTGATGACTAGGCCATCCTTCTTGTTTGTTAGATTGTTAGCAGACTTGGAGGTTTTTGGTTAGTGGGCTTTATTTGACATATTTTCCGTTTCGAGTTTCTTATCTTTCAAATGAACCTAAGGTCCATTACATGGGCCACTTTCCTCTTCTCAGGGGGTGTTTATACTGTAACTTGAGCAAAAAATGTTATTACACCTCCGTACCACTAATGAAGCTGGCACTAGAAGAAGATACAAATTTATTGTTCTAGCAGAACCCTCAAAATGCAGACCTGGTGGTTTTTGGTTCGTGGGCTTTTGATTGCGTTACCCGTTGAATCTCAAATCAGAAAACCAACAGAGAAGACACTGATTCCAAAGGCATGATTCGTTTGAAAATGGTTGACAAAGTTTTAAAAAAATGTTTCAATATTCATGGAAACAACTATTGGTCATGTAGCATCAAACTCCTAATCAACTTTGATAAAAATGTGGTTGCAGAATATTTGTCCTGACCCTTTAACGACCAACCATTGTAAAGCATTTGTCCCACAAACTAATAGATAGAGACTGCTTTAATCTATGGATCGCAATTTTGGATAGGGAATAACCTTAGCCAGACCAAAGATCTTATACTCAGATAAGTGATAAGAGGACAGTCTGGAGAAAAAGTGTTGGCTGGATTGCACGATAATTGTGGTAGCTGGGCCACACCCAATTGAAGATTGTTTTAACCGTTTGTGGTGCGTGGCATTCTTAGAGACAATCCGAGTCATGAAGTGGGAAGCTGGTTCTTTCAGGTATCTCAAAGACAAAGAGTGATTATTAAAGGGAAAAACATGTACAGTCTGATTCATTTTCTTGACTTATTCAAAGCGAACCAAAGGCTTAACTTCCCCAAGTGGGCAGAGTTCTGCAATAGATACCAGACAGTCAAGCAGAAATTCATCATAATTTATCAAATCTTTACAGCAAAAAGAGAGCAAGTCTCATTATCCTTTATGGTGAAGAAGGGAGACCAAATAACTATCTCTACTTGGCTGGAGAAAGTAATGACCGCCAGCGGTCTGCAACGTCTGACTACTGTAATAATCCATCTCCCATATACAGAGAGATTATACTGCTATCTATATCTTCCTATGTACCTGCTAAGGATAAAGCCAACAAAAAGATGAAACTTTATCAGAAAAGCAATGGAAAAAAAAAGGGAATATGATGAGCAACTCACGCTCCATTTGTACTTATTTTTCTTTCATTTTCTTTCGCGTATCTTGGCTTCTTCTAAGGACAAGAAAGAGAAGGAGGGTTGCAGGATGAGATGTTAAATGATTGATCAAACTCAATGAAAAATGATAAGAGAAGGCAGAATGAGAACAGATTTAATGCAGAAGCAACAAGATCCATACATAATAATTCCAGAGAAAATCTGACCCAAAGGTACCTTTATTAGTATGTGGATTGGCAAGCAAACTCTCAGTAATAGAGAGACCCTGCAGAAACAACAAAGACATCAACTTTACAGTTTGAAAGTTATCCACTGTGCTACTCAGAATAGTCCGTTAGACAGTTATAGTGTACCTTGCCACCAGTTTCCTCTTGATGCACTCCCTGAATCATCTTCTCCACCATCCTTCTTGTACTAGAAAGTTATGCAAACATGTTAGCAGATTCCTAATCAAAAGACTGATCAAACTAAAAAGTTTAAAGGATTCCAAATTTGTATGCAAAAAGGATGCTTTGAATGTCCTTCCAGTCACTAATCACTAGTTATTTCATGCCTATAGGACAATTTGATGTACTCACCACAGAGTTTAATCCAGAGGCCTGGCTACTCTGGGGATAGAAGTATACATCTTGGCCACCGTAGTAGATTGATGAACTTAGATGACATGGTTGTACTCTTTGCTCCTCATAAATGGAACTCACGTCTCTATTTGCTATGTTCTGCTTTTCACCTTCATGTCCTTTGGAAAAGTTACCTGACAAGATTGAATCGCTTTAAAGAGAATTTTCGGACACATAAATGAGAATTCAATATTACCCAGTGCATCAGAATCATTGAACATAAAAGAAAACTAATTTATAAAACAAGCAAAGACACAATTATCTCCCCCACTCTCCCTAAATAAACTTCTGCTTATATTTGCTAAATAGTAATAAAAAAAAACTAGAAATCACATAGAATATTGAGCTATAAGCAATTGTGGGCAACTGCTTCAATTCACTCTTATATCAGAAGAATGCTACAGATAAATTAGTAAATGTTATTGAATAGATAAAACTAAAGGTATATAGCCATGAGAATATCCTTCAGAACTGCATAAAAAGGTCGGTCTTGTTTTGGTCTAATGTACAACAAAACAAGTAAACAACCAATATATGATTTTAACCAAATAGGGTGAAATATATTACCATAGAGTCATAAAGGCTCTTGCAAGAGAAGGAATTTCAGCAGAAAGGAAAAGAAAATAGCACAATAGAAAAATCTATTTTCGTTTGATGTGAACAATAATAGATTCAAAATCTTGTGTTATACAGAAAACGTGAATATAAGTATGATTTAGTATAAACTCCCATAAAAGTTATTTATAATGCACAAACCAGAGGCTCCGGGCTTTGTGTTCCAGGGCTCATTCGGAGAATTCTGCCTTTTGGCCATCACATCAGGACGCAGAGACTCCCTTCCTATTACCTAAATCAACACCAGCCTAGAGAAATTAAAACTTTCTGAACAAAACTAGAAAACTTGCTAAACTTCCAAAAAGATTGAGACAAAAGAGAAGCATAAAGAAACAATTGGCCTTAAAATAGAACTTGCATTCCATGCAGATATGTCAAAGTCTTAAGCTTTTCAAACAGCAATGGCGTTTATAGAAGCTCTCATTGGCAGTTTCTATTTTCACCTATTCAAATCATTCCGTTACTGCCTAACACAATCTCAATTTTGCAATTTGCAGAAACAGTTCAAATTCATTCCTCTTAGCAGTCCTTAATCAATCTCGTAAAGCTCAACAAAAGAAAACTTCCCACTTAGAAACAAACAGCTTTACAACCATAGTCTATTAAATAGTCTCAAAATTACCCAATTGAAAGAAAAATAAAAAGTTTCAACCTTCGAAACTCCATCGAACATAAACAAAAAACCCCATAATCAAGAACATTGAATACCAAAGAAATGAAAGAGAATTCAAAACCCAAAAAGCTAAAACGAAAAACAAAAATGACGTAAAAAAAAGGATTAAAATGAAAAAAAAATCGAACATAATAATAATACCTTAGACGAAGGGGCAAATATAGACCCGAAAATTCCTGTGGAAGATGAAGGAGACTCTTTTGAACCAAAGAGCTCTGAAGTAAAGGTAGAAGACGACGATCCCACTCCTTTCCTTCCTTCCATTCTCTCAACAGATTAGACTTCTCTTTTCTCTCTCGTTAATCTTATAAGTTATAATAATCTTTTCATAGTCTCTAACAAAGCGATATAAAGAAGCACCGTCAAGAGAAAGGAAAGAAACAAAACGGAAAGAGAAAGAAGACAAGAAAAAGAAAGGAAAAACCAGAGGAGAACAAAACAGTACGCAACAGAAAGGGGAAAGACACGTGAAGATTGCGCTTTGTTTGTAGTAGTAGTTGTTGTTGTTGTTTTTTAGTTCTGTAAGAGAAATGAAACCGTCCCTCTCTTACCAAATTAATATTAACTCCAGGTAAGGCACACAGGATGAATTAAAAGAAAGAAAATCATTGAAATAAAATTTTTTATTTTTACTTCTTTTCGTCTTTTTTAGCCAGCAAAGTCTAAATCTTATGGTACAGTGTCTGTTTTCTCGTCCTTGTACTCTGTCGACAGGCAGACAGATTTATGCCACGTGGAGATAAATGAATAAGTGGGCCCTGGATCGAAATCGCAACCTTTTACTGCCACGATTACATTGGTAGATAATTGCAGTTCCTCGAGCCCCTATCCTTTCCAGGGGCTCTCCTGTCGTGCCAGTGCCCTGGATCAGTAGAACCTTCTCTCTGTTGAATTCAATTCTGACTTTTCCTGCTATTTATTTCACTTGTTTTCCATTTTGGCTACTTAGTGATCCAGGCTGCAGGGCAAAGATGGCAGTTAGTAGAACCTGACCGGACCTGAAATGGTGGGTCTTCATTCATTCAGTTTCCAGGACAAATTTGGAGCTATTGAACAGGAAAAACTCCTGCAAACCTTCATTCTGTTTTTATATAATGTAGAAAATTATGAATTAATCTACCCTGTAGAAAACTACATATATAGTATAAATATCTGTAGAAAAATCTGAATCAGCTGGTTTTGTCCGGAGCTGGGGGGCCCTTCAGTTATGATTTGATAGAAACCCATGATAGGAAGGGGAGAAAAAGGTTTTGTTGTTCAATGTTTTGGATGAGCAAGTTTACAAATTTGATAATTGGATAGTATCATTTATTCCTTTGCAGATTAATTAACAATGATAGAATTAGAGAATTTTTTTCTACTAATAATGTTTAATGATGAATAGAAGGTCCCCATGGCAAGTGAAAACAAAGGAAGAGACAAAGAGAAAAACAGGAATCCATGTTTGGGTCGCCGCGTGTTCTACGCGTGTTAAATTTTTTTGCCACATGGAGTGTCGTCGTGCTGAAATCTGTCAGGTTCTCAGGGATCCTATTGCATTTCCCTCTTCCGGCCTTTTTTAACTATTTCAGAGTCGATTTATCCATGTTCCCTGGTAAATTAGAATTTGTGGTTGTTGCTAGTGAAAGAAAAAAATGAAGATCTGCAGTTCCTTTCCTTTTCTCTCTTTTACTATTTACCACTGTATACAGTAACCTTTATGCTATTTCCTATCAAATTATTATTAGATTCTGAGATTATCCTTAAAGTATTCATCGTCCCACAAAAGAGCTTTTAGCTTTCATCCACATTTTCGTCGTGTGGATGAAAGTGCAACACATACTCACGTATGGCATTGGATAGAAGAGCAGCAGCAGAATCACAAAACGACAAGCTAAAACTAGAGCTTGGTCCGAAGATAAGAACAAAAAATGAAAAAAAGAAAAGGGGGCAAAGAAATAGGGAAAAGTAAACACGTTAAGAGCATGGCAGTGATGTTCCTATTTGGCAAGTGCCGAGTGCCGACGAGGATCAAGAGGGACTCGCAGGTGCCTACTGCTCCCTGCTTTGCTACACTGCAATTCTTGGGTTTTGTTTTGCTTACATGAACGAAAGTTCTTTTAGGCCCAATGTTCTCCTTCTGGGTGGAGAATATGGAAGAGGCTAGCCCAAAAGGCTCAAAAAGACAAAGGGGCAGGCTAACTTTGATTGATTCATAATTAAATTGAATTTTCTGTTTTTGAGGCAATAACTTGAGTTATTATGTAGAACTCTTCCGCTTTTGTTGTTGTCTTTTCATTGACCGAGGTGGTTTTTTTTGTTTCAATACCGTATAAAATAAGTAGCTAGATAGGTTCTTAACTGTTTGATTTAATGATTAAGGTAATTTAAAAAAAATATATCAAGATTGGGTTCGAACTCCAATTTTTTCTTTTTTCGAGTTCTGACTCTCTTAAATGATTGAAAAAAAAAGTCGCTAGATAGGAACTTCGTCAGCAAAGAGATAAATTAATAAACAAATACTTCCTCTATGACTTATTTATTGATCACTACCCCTAACCTGCCGACCAATGCCATAGGAATGGTCTTTGGCCTTTGTTTAATCTCACCGAGACTTACCAAGTCAATGGTTTTATAATTTGCTCTGATTATTGAGTGTTTGCCAGCCACCATATCTTTGCCATTACGTGAATTTGCAAGTCTTTGGTGGCCAAATTACGCGTATTGCCTTTAATTTAGCACTTTTCAGGTTGATCATCTTTTTTCTGTTTGAAGTTGATATATGGTTTAACTAGATTGTTTATGAAGTATTTTAGATGATTTTTTTTTAAGAAGTTTGCACAGCTCAGTCGCTCAAAGGACATCGCAATATAAACAGAGAAAATACCGTAGTCTAATTGAAGTTCTGGAAGAACATATTGATCAATTATGATCGCAAAAATCAGTAGGAAGGCTCTTAAGCTTCAATAGCTTCAGGACAAGAATTTGAACATGAAATTAATGTCTCAAGTAAGCAACATGTGGGCGAACATGATCCAATATCGTTAGTGTAGATATGTACATATAACCAAAAAGATGAAAAAAGGGAACAAAATCCTAATGTAGTTTCCAAGGCAAGCATTTGAGCTGAGAGCAGGGTTGGATCCAAGTACTGGAGCATTCACCTCCAGTTCCATCGCAACATTTGCAAACAACTCCAAGAGTAGCAAAGATTTTCGAGAATCCTACAAATTTTATATAAAGAACAGCCCCATCAGTCGACTGGAAGTGAAACAATCAGCAATGACTAAAAGCTCAAGAAGTTAACAAACAGATTCATACTTTGTTGAGCAGGCAGGATGGAAAGTGGCCTTGCCGCAGAAGCCAGGGGCACCTGGGATGCAGAAACTGAGATTACAAGCAGCAGCAGGAGCACAAAACCCTGGAATTTATCCATCTTCTCCTGTCTTTCTAGTGAGGTCTTAGCAATCAGAAGGACCGAATATAAGCCAAAAAAAAAATTATGCTTTTAATTTAACAGGAGGAGTCGAATCAGGTACTTGTTAATCTAGAAAGGTGGCTGTATTTTTCTGTTTGAAAGCGCACGGATTTAAAATGGAGGGCTTCTAGAGAACAAAATTGAGACGTGCCGCACGTTTCAAACTTGTTTACGTTTCTAAAGAGAGAGAGGAGGGGCAACCGACTCTTATACCCAATCCCAATTTCATATTTTAATTAATTGATTTAGTTCATATGTTAAAAAAAATAAAATAAAATTTTTGTTAATTTTTTTTTATAGTTTCTTTGAGAGAAAAAAGAATATAAAAATTAAAAAAAAAGTTAAGATTAAAAATTTAATCATACAATTAAAGATTTGAAGGTAAAACTTATTTTTTAAATTCTTTAATTTTTTTTTTGTGAGAAAAACTTAAATAATAAGTTAGGATTTTTAATATTGTAAATTTTTAGGCAATATTTCAGTAATTTTTTGGTGAAATTGTGGGTAGCAATGAAAATGTCTTTTAAAGATCTTTTTAATGGTATGTGTAGTACTTTATTTAGTTAAATAATTTAGGATAATTTAATATTTCAAATTTTTTATTTTTGGATTTTTAATAATTAAAGACACCTAACTTTAAGCTGTTAGAATTCACTATTTCGATGTCAATTTGGTTGAAATTTAAGTGATTTTAGTAGTACGAAATATGAATTTTTTAGTGGTATAATTGGTTTGTTTAAATGATTTATAGGCTAAAAGAATTGAAATTTCAAAATAGACTTTATGAATCTGAAGCTAAAAAAAATCTAAATTGTTTGCGATAATTTATAAAATTTTGGTTTTTGAAACTTAGACTTTTGAAAGTCATTTTTGGTGAAATGAAATTTTAAGTTGTAGTATTACATTCTTACTTTAAATTACTATTTTTCTTTGTCACTATAAATTGTAGGATATTATAGATTTTATGGCTCAAAGTAAGCTAAATGATTACAAAATGCAAAAATTTTAGAACATAAAAAATTTTGTTATTAATTATTTTAAAAATTATTTTCAATCAAAATTTGATGTATGTAGTTATAAATTACTTGAATTTCAGTTATATTATTTTATTAAATTTGTATTTATTTTAATATATTTTTACTGTGTTAATTTCATGTTATTAGTATCATTAAAAGACTATTAAGTTCGATTTAGATTTACAAAAATTATTATTATTAAATGTTAAAAATTAAATATTTGTGAATATTCATATTGTTATTGATTTTTATATTTTAATTCTTAATTTCATATTTATACTCAATTTTAGGCATTTTGTTATATTAAAAAAATATTTTATATATTAAAAGAAAATACTTCCATATAGTTTTGAATTGTCAAAAAGTTGTCACGTAATCTAATTTGCTTAAAATGACCCACAGAAGGTTTGTCTTATTAAATTTATGTTTTTTTGGTTAAATTCTGATTTTTGAATATTTCTTAAATTATTAAGATATTAAAAAAATTAAGTGATTTGCTGTTTAAGTTTCGGTGTAATGCATCAGTTAAGTGACTTAATATCTCTTTGATTTTTATATCCCAAAAAATTAGCCTCTTTATGTTTAGAGTTCAAATATATAATAAATATTATTTTGTCAATTTATTTTGTAAATCTGGTTGAGTTTATAAAGTATATATAGAATTTCTTTGTTATAAGTTTAGAATATGGCTTGATTTTCGAATATAATTTCATAATAATATATTTATATATCCATCATTTATCAGAATAAAAAATTTTGTTTTGGAATGATCATAGAATTTACTTTGTATGGATTATATTTTGAGAAAATTTATAAATACTAAAATTGTATATATTGGGTAATCTAAAAATATATTTTATGTTATCTCCTTGTATAACTATGTTCTGACCCTACCAATGAGGGTTAATTGTTGGTCATATCGACATTTACTTTGTGATATCGATATTGGTTTCAAACTGTGCTATCAATTGAGAATAGTAGTTTTTGTTCACTGTGTCATTAGTGATATACTTATGTCTCATTGCACTAAAGGGATTGTTATGATTTTTTTTCTGTTCCATTGAACTAACAGGTTAATTATGATTGTTTATGCAACATTCTAGTTTCTTCTAATATACTTCTGTCCTATTATGCTAGAGAAAAAATTTTGATTCTAACCTATGCCACATATGATAAGTGTGGTTATAGTATATTACAAAAGACTAATAAAATTTATAATTTTATGATATTTGATTATGTTTTGGTGATCGAAGAATCTGGTTTGAAAAATATGTTTGTGAATATAAGATTATCTAAAATATTTTTGATTCATTTAATTAATGTTTTAGACTAAATATTTTATAGCATATTTAATCCAATTGATGGGATGTTAGTTTCTTTGTTAGTCATTGTACTCATTCATTTCATTTTTTTTTATTTTTGCAAAATTTGAAGTTTGTATCTTAAGAGGCTTATTCTCGATAACTATTTAAATTAGCAAGATTAGCATATGTCTTTAGTTTGCTATCACTTTCGAATGAGTATTTTATTATTGATTTTAAAAGATTTGTTAGTAAGAATTTTAATACATTCGATCAATTTGTAAAGAGTATAATTTTATAGATTCAAGATTTTATAAAGTGTTATTTTGAAGATTGTTCGAGATTTTAATTTAGTTCGATACCTATTAACTTGCATACTTATGAAATTCATCTTAAAAAAATGCGACATTGTTATGTCCTAAATTTTCAAGCTTGAGACATGACACTGACGAAAAGCAAGGATGAAAGAACTTGGTCAAAACTTCTTTTCGGGCAAATGTGGGAACGACAACCCTACTATTTATATGACTAGACAAGATAAAAGAGTGCATACATGAGACACACCATTTGGTTCTAAGTCTGAGTTAAATTGCTCATCATTAAATTTAGCAACAGGGG